TTCCATCACTAGTAAATATAGTTCCGAGGTACTTGAACTTCTCCACCTGCTCCACTGCCTCTCCGCTAATTTTAGTGTCATCTACCTAAATTTTTATGCTATTTAGCCGTTAAACACGAGCTTTGTTTTCTTGTTTTCCCACAATCGTTTTCTAGTCCATTCGAATATGTGATTTTAATAGTGCACGAATATTTTCTAATTCATTCAATGGTCATGCGAACCAAAGATGTGATTGTTTCTCTGAATTCACATAGCACTGTTTCGTACAACCCCCTGATTTTGGACTTTTAAAAATCTTCAGATCAGGCAGCGACTCCATGGAACTGCAGACCGCATTATGACGTCTGACCGAACAACCACCTGTTCGAAGCACTAACAGAAGGAAAAAATTGGTGCACCTACATAATCCAGCAAATCCGTTATATCGAGGGGACACATCAGAGACGGGGTTTCGTCAGCAAACAGTTTTACAAATCTTTAACGTCTAGTTGCAAATGTCTATTTCGATATTTTCTTAAAATAAACGCGGAGTCCTAACAAATACAAAGCGATTAAGACTTTAAAATAAATTTCTAACGGATACGATTCAAGAAGTTCATCAGGCGAGAAAATAAGTTTCTGATTATCTTCCTACATAAATTATTTACGGCAATATCTTGCTGTTCTGCCTTCTTACCTCGTTGCACTTCATGATACCCATTCATGAAAGTTAATCATTTGGAGTCTCGTCGTATTTGAACAGGCAGAACTTACTCCTCATTGGTGTGAAATTTAAGAAAAGAGTGTTCATAACCTTACAGGTTTACGTTTGAAAATTAAAACTTGGCGGTCTTCTTAGCTGCATCACTGATGCGAGTAGCCGCACTGTCTTTATGTGAATCTAGAATATTTTTTTCTCTCGAAAAAGTACATATTTATGCGAGAGAAAGTACAACAAGCATGAGCTGAACATAATTAGCGCTGATTGCGTTATACATAACTAAATAACGTCATACCGTACTGCATGTCAATACACCGTCATTGTACCGGTTTCGGTAAAATAACGTATAATTAAACGAACGAGTTAGATTTAATTAAATATTACCCCTATGTTCCTAAATATTTATCGATCGTTTGAACAAGTCATGTCCATGTCGCAACTGAACGCATAAAGTGAAGAACGCAGCCATTTTTGTTGTGGGTTGGAACAAACCTCGCTTTCCACCAGTGCAGTTTAATAGTGCAGTAGTCATTATATACTTTCACAAAGTATCAGACACATCGGACCGAACATCGAAGCAGGCCAATCAGCGACAGCGTGCTGAAAAATTGGATTTAGAGACGAATTTCATCTCGGGAAAACAGTGTCCACCATCGAAACATAGTTTGGAATCAAGAAGGTACTGAAGACACGAATTGCCTAAATGGCCCCTAGGCAGTTGGAACAATATGATCTGGCAGTATTCTGTTCTTGACAAATTTATTAAGTTATTTAGAGACGCCTTCATACTAGTATCTTTAATTCGTCGCAATGATTGCGACTAAATCTACAGATGGATATTGTATTTAGAACATTGTGGGGGGGAGGGGGAGGAGATGTACATCAGGACATGTTCAATAGTTATCGTCAACTGCCGTCTGAAACATTCTGCATTTTCTCTGATAGTTTCGATAGTAACGAGCAGTTCCGGTAGAATGTGATAGTCGGTCTAGTTAAAGCAGTTAAGTTGCTAATAGAAGAATCGTTGCGTAATTATACCTGGAGGAACAGAGTGCACAACAGCAAAACTAGTCTGATTCACTCACATATCGAGTGGATTTCGACGACAGTTTGCTTAAATACATGCGAATCATGCTTACAGATATTAGCATAATCTAGGCGCCGTACTTTCATTCCTTTAACTTGTTGTTAATTATCAGTACTCAAAAATGGTTATCATCAATATTTCTTAAATACCGGTGCTAAGTCCTTTCGTTTATGAAACATTTTATGACTTTTGTTCACTTTGCTATTGAATCGAAGATGTAAATGTGTTTGAAAACGGCATACAGCACGATTTATTTATACACAATGCAATATGGTCAAAATATGGTCATACAAAAGATTGGCAAGTACTGCCATTCTGGTTCGTGTCTCACAGGCCTTTTTCAAGGTGATGAAGAGAGCTGAGCGATTCAGGCTTAAAAGTCGATACTCGTCGAACATCCGTTTCACAATATTTTCACAATATTCATACGCCGTTTTATGCTGTCTTTTAGTGTGAGTCCGAACGCACGAACGAAATGCTCAATGTATCGAAAAAATTTTCTTGCGTTGTTATCACGGTGAGAAATCATCATTGATAATCGAACATAATTTGATTTCCGTTTCAGATTTTAATGCGCCCCTTCTATAGTTGAGTAGAAATAGCATAATAAGTCTCCAACAACTAGTCAATTCTCTTTCATTCGAAAACCGGTTTTAGGCCACTTATATTTGAATATGAGACACAGGTACGAGAAGTTTCAGCACTGTGGCTTTCCGGAAATATGACTAATGGACGTGAAGAGTTACAAACTCAGTTCGACTGAGGCACAAATGCCCAGTCTGTCATCCGAGAAGAGGCTGGGACGATCCGACGATCGACATTTTTGGCAGAACGAGAGAGGCAGAAACGGAGAACAGAAAATATTGGAGAAACGCAGACTTGCGTTCATGGCGCAGCCATAATGAGTCCTAGTCAGATAACTGCCGAGGGATATTTGAGTAGGCAATAAAAATACGTCAATGATTCAAACAAAGCAATTCGAGGGAAAACAGTTAAGTTGAGTATTGCGCGACAAGATGTTTTCATGCCATTGCTGAAAGATATATGCGGCAGTTATGCAGGTTATGACGATCTAGAAGTCATAAAATTCAACGTACTGTTTCCTCCTTTCAATGGCCAATTGAATCTAATGGATATCTGTGCCTCAAGTTTAGGCGCAAAACATATTCGTAGATATCGTGTCGGGTAAAGAATACTGGAACTAATAAAATAAATGACCAATCACGAAGAGATCATTGGGAAAAATCAGGCCAGGCTTGTTCGTCGTTGTAGGTCCGAGGTTGAAGCTCGGTCATGCTACTCGTCTTTCTTCTCTCAATAGTTAATAAATTAGCACACTTTCGTTTTAAAGAACAGGAGATTATACTCTATTGTGATCCCGAAACTGTAGATATAACCTTAGAAAAATAACAATGAGATACTCCAAGTTGATATCGCGGAAACGGAGATTATGATGGGGCCATGAGTTTCATGCAAAATGAGGTATCGCAAATAATGCTTAGTCTTGAAATTGTAAGGAAGACCGACATCTCAGAGGTTAGAAACTTTCTTCTTTTTCTCCTTTGGACAGGGTGATCATTTTCTCAGGGTTCTTGTATTGTGTTCATTGATTTTGCTTCTCTACTTCTACAAGGCATCTCCTATGTAGTCCTTCGCACTGTCTTCATGGAAATACAGTTGCTAGGCACTGGAACGGGATTTAGGTGGCACGAAACTATAATTCTCGAAGGATTGCTTCGAGAATATGGATGATCGTATATAGGACAGAAACGAAGTGTGGTGCTTAATTAGGTAACTGCAAGACTAAATTGAAAGGGGAACGGCAAAGCAAAGTAAAGGAAAAAGACTTATATCTGTAGCAAGGTGATTAAAGACCGATTTGTGTGATTGGAATATATACCAGGAAGAGAAACATGCGCTGTTGGAAGGAAGATAGCAAACATATAACACCGGAAAATCATGCAAGAAATAAGTAGAAAATGACACGAATGGATTGAGATAGTGAGCTCAATTATGACTGCTTACAAACTGTCTCAGTGTTGACTAGATACTGGAATTTTGGGCTTACAACGTAAAGTTGATTTTGCTGATTTTCACAATGAATGATCTTCTTTCAGATAGGTCAAGACATACTGCATTCCTAAGAGGCAGTCACATTGATGAGACTACACCATAAGAAAACTCCAATTAATCGAAAATCATTAATTTACTACCATATTTTCGACTGGTTGCACCGACGCAAAACTGAGTGAATTTCCTGTTCACAAAAGTTAATGGTCAAGAAAATTTTTTATGAGATTCGAACTTGGCAAGTCCAGAGTTCGAAACCGACCACCTAGCACTGCACCATCGCCAACGTTTCCACATGAATGGAAGGAGGAAAGAAAAAAATCATCGAAGCAGACTACGTTCAAACGGGTACTCTGTTAGGCGAGGGAAAACCTCTTAAATAAGTC